ACACAAAAGTTCCGAAGTTAAAAACAACAAAACATTATAATGCTACAAGTAAACAAGTAGAAACATAATTCAAAACTGTTTGGTACACACCTGTCGCCTGATCTATGAGCCAGATCAACCATTTCCCCACCAAATTCTGCAAAAATCTTCACAAACTCGGTAAACGATCGGCAGACTTCAAGTCGTGATAAGGAATAAGCAACCTAAAATTGAAAAATTGATTGCAAAAAATACGAAAAACGAGAAAAAGCTGGAGCTTACCTTATCTTCCGCACGTAAAATCTGCTTCACCAGAACTCTATCAGCCAGAAGAAGTACTCTTGTCACGCTACTCAAAAGTTGCCGGCTGGCTCGGACCAGCACGCTTTTGTCAAGAAGAGGTGCATCAGGAATGTCCGTTGAACAACATGATAGATTGGCGATAGAAGCCCCTATACAACATAAAAATTTGAGGAACTGCAGATCGACGCAAGAAAAAAGTATTTAAAACAAAAAAAGCAGAACAAACCTGCTAAACGAGCTTCATGACAGGCATCATACATTTCCGGTTGAATATCTGGATTTTCATCTGCTATTGTTTCTCCGACTGCAACGAAGCGTTCTATAGCTGCTTCCACAGCGCTACCCACCTAAAAGAAACAAACTGTTAACATTTATACTTTAAACAGAGACTACCTTTAGTGCAGCTCGGATTGCTCTCTCAGATTTAGGTTTGCCATTCATAAGATAAGATTCTTTGAAGTTGACAAGGGTAGTGATCTGAAATGTCCAGTTATATGCTATACAAATAAAGCATAGGCCAAAATATATGAGCTTTGTAGCAAATGACATGGCGTGGACTGTTTTCTTGAATTCTTGCAACTGCTGAAAATTCAAGATTTCAGAAGAACAACCACCATGTCATTTCCTCACTTGAGATCTAGTGCTCTATTTTCAAAGGCCAAATTCTCTGCTTCACAGAGGGTCTTCAGGCGCTTACATAGTTGGTAGGAAATCAAGAGTAAAGGAGCTTTTGAGGTAAAGTCAGCCGCTCGCACATGCTCAGACAATTCACCGGAACTTCCGCAGGACAAGCCA